ATCATAATTTTTAATTACTCATCTTATCAACTAGTAATTAGCATGACTATATTTGATATGTGATTGGCAGTGAGGCTTAAAACTCGAGTTTTATCCTGTTTTCGACTAATCAACCGGATGTACATGCTTACCGTTATTAATGTTTACATTGAAACTTGAACCTAGTCTAATCATCGTTTGAAACGCATAATATGTTATCCATTAAAATACTGATGAGTCCATATGTCCGATAACTTGTTCGATGAATAAGAAGACATTAATAAGGGTTCGTATTCAAAATTGTTACTAATTCGTTTTTATTGCCAATATATATATATATATATAAACTCTCGGATACAATACAGCATGCATCAATCGAATTACACTTGACGGTGAAGCTTTGGAGGAGGTAAAAACCTTTACATATCTGGGCAGCATCATTGATGAACACGGTGGATCAGATGCAAATGGGAGGGCGAGGATCGGCAAACTAAAAGCAGCATATTTACAACTGAAGAACATCTGGAACCCAAAACAACTGTCAACCAACACCAAGATCATAATTTTCAATACAAATGTGAAGACAATTCTACTGTATGGGGCGGAGACGTGGAGAACTACCAGAAGATACAGGTGTTTATTAACAGTTGTCTACGCAAAATACTTCGGATCCGTTGGCCAGACACTATCAGCAACATTCTACTGTGGGAGACAACAAACCAGCGGAGGAAGAAATCAGGAGGAAGCGCTAGAAGTGGATAGGACACACTTTGAGGAAATCACCCAACTGCGTCACAAAACAAGCCCTCACATGGAGTCCTGAAGGCCAAAGTAGAAGAGTAAGACCAAAGAACACATTACTCCGAGAAATGGAGAAAGACATGATAAGAACAAAAATTGGATAGAACTAGGAAGGAAGGCCCTGGACAGAGTGGGTTGGAGAATGCTAGTCGGTGGCTTACGCTCCATTGGGAGTAACAGGCGTAAGTAAGTAAGTAAGCCAATATATACATATATATAACTATATTTTCGAGTTTCAAATGTTTAATATCCTGAAACAAAGTGTTTAGAGATATTTTATTTTGACGATTTTAAGTAATCAACAGACAACACATGAATTGATACAGTAAATTATCAAACTAAATAAATTCCATCACATTTTAATAAAATCATCAAAAGTGCAGAATAACAAGCAAAATACACCATCTTACATTGTCAACAATAAAAGTACAACCAACTTTCATAACAAATAACAAAACCAAACAAAAAAATCTGAATACTTTCTTATGAAAAAATAAGAAAAACTTAAACCTGTTATACATAAGTAAACTTTAAATGTCAGTTAGGTAAAATAATTAATATAAACTTTAAAATCTGATAAATGAATAATATCTCACTGAGACAAAATAATCCACTCTCAGTATGGGATTGTGGAGATTCTTAAGCTTTTGATTGAGATCATGAATCGATTAATATTAGACCAACACTGAAAACCTGGAAACATTGGACGCCTGTTTTGTCCCACTATGGAACTCCTCAGAAGTGAGCATCCACGATCCCGCACATGGGATTCGAACACAGGATTTTCGGTCTCGTGCACAAACGCTTAATCTCTAAATTCATTGGATGATCTAAGTAATGTTGATCAGTTAAATATCTCTAGCTGAATAGATCTGAAGAAAACAAAACTCTCTCTTACAAATTTTTATGGTAATGTAAATCAACTTTACTTTTTCATTAAGTTTGAATTGAAACTAAAAATATATATCAAAATCTTTCTTTACATCTTAAATTTCACTACAAGTTCATACATGATATAATTCGATACAAATAATTATTCATGTATGGATACATTCATGTTTCTATATCAGCACTGGCTTTGAATAGATAAAACATTGATCAAAAACGAACACAAAGCTAACAGTTTTAGAATAATTTAAAAGTAAATCGAACAGCTAAACACTTTCAAATGGTACACCATTATGTTGAATCATTCAACTAATTGGGAACATTGTTAACTTACTCGATAATTGTATTCCGTTAGCACTAAGGACAAGACAATGTGAAATTCATTCTTAACCAATAACTGATTTATACTTTCGGTCATGTCCATCAAAAGTTATTCATGACCAAAGTAACCTATTAATAATATTTTCGATCCCACTGTTGAGTGACTAATCTTTTACTTACTGAAGTAGTGTAAATTTGTCTTTATAAGTGATGTCAAAATCGGAAAACATTAAAAAACAGATCAATAACTTGGTATTTTTCCAAAAGTTATTAATTTATTCGTTTCTCTATGATAAGGTTCATCAGAAATGATCGTGTCCTAATCACAAAATATAGATTGATCATCCGTGTAGTTGAACTGTAGTCCTAATATAAATTAGACGGTATCTATGATAAATGACATATTAAAGGGTTTTAAAATGATTGAAACAGATTTATCTTTTTTAAGTGAAATTTCGGTAATTTGAAAATTTTTATTTCTATCTTTAGATTAATGGAAACTATGGAGAATTTAAGAGTTAGTTCATTCACCTGTAGCTTTTCATAACTGCTCACGGTCATTTGAAGTGTACGGTTTAATTCGTTTACTGGAACATAAGTAGTAACATTTTTTCAGCTTTATTCATTTCACAGAACAGTGTAGCTATCATTTATTAACATAATTCACCATTACGCTTTAAACTTATTTACAGTCTTAATGATTCCAGATATATATCATATACTTGTGCTCACATGCCAATTTAAGACTAAACGATAGATGAGAAATGGCAAACAAAGCACACTGTTAAATGAAGTCAATTAAAGTCTTATCCTAGAAATCAAGAGAAAAAAATGTCTTTATTCCATGAATTGTGTACACTATTCGATTTACTAATTATACACTGTTTTCTTGTTTGTATAGCAGGTTAGGTAAGCGTTTAATGAGCAGGTATATCTTCATCTAAATCAGACAACCACTGAATATAATACTCTTATTCATTATAAGAAAATTCTCATTTCAATTAGTTAAAATAGACAACTTTGAAATAATATATTAGATTTTTAGTACAATAGAGAATTCTCAGCATAATGTATTTCAACAAATTTTCCGTTTCTCACTTCTTGATTGATCCTGACGACAAATATTGAGTGATCGACAGTTAGAAGTTAACAGTTCAGTCAATCGACATCTAAATAATGTACATCCTTTCCGTTGCATATTGCTAACAACTACGATATCTCTGTTTAGGCTCTTTTGTAATCTTTACGGCGAAAAATTGTACACTTTTGAGAGACGCACCTGAATAGGTTATGCAATTAATAGCCATAATGATGTATTTAAACAAACAAAATTAGATAACTTGTTAAAATACCTAGATGACAGGAACAGTTAGCCCAGATATTCAATCAAGCCGCATGACAACATCATTCTAACTATTAACATAACACCATTATATGAACGAAGAATATTCTTTTCAATAATTTCTCATCAGGTTCTACAATTATAATTCCAAATGAATAATCCACAAAAGAAAATTGGTCAAGTTTAGGTCAGAGTACATCATTTAAGAAACTGTAACATGTGAATCAAGGAGTGTTGTTTGTCATATAAAATCAAATCATTAGTGTTGGGATGACAATAGCATGAAGTGTTAACTCGGATCAGTTTATAAGTGAAATAAAATTGTAAGATAAATGATCAGAATATATATAGCTGACATGGGGTAAGAGAGAGAACAATGGGATTACAAATCAGAAATTACGTAATATGTAGAATAATATGAATTAGGTCAGATATAGTAGATAGGGGTGGATGTTGAATAAATTTCTCTATAAGGTTAGCAAGTGTGATAATAATAATAATAATGACTGGTAAGATGTGTAGATAAAATAAGTTTATGATATAAAAATGAACATTAATAAAATTAATGTAACCATATTATAAAATTGATTATTAGAAAGTTCCCCCTTATATTGGCCAGGGTAAAAGGAGGGGCTGGACATATTCCTTTTGGATGCGAAGCTCTGGCTTTTTGATCCGAATAACAATTGCCTCAGCCGTTTGCAGGATTCTCAGTCTGACGGAATTAGGTAGACTGCTGTTAACACGATATATTATTGTGAAAGATTGCTCGATGTTGACTCTATGTACCGTCTGAACGAAATGGGCTACAATAGAGCTGTTAACCGTTTTGACTACACCTTTGATTAACCACACTGGGAGATGCCCACGAGCCCGAGTATAAAAATTCGTAGAACGTCTGTCTATATAACTTGCCCCACAGGGGCATTATTTACTATATCTGACCTAATTCATATTATTCTACATATTACGTAATTTCTGATTTGTAATCCCATTGTTCTCTCTCTTACCCCATCTCAGCTATATATATTCTGATCATTTATCTTACAATTTTATTTCACTTATAAACTGATCCGAGTTAACACTTCATGCTATTGTCATCCCAACACTAATGATTTGATTTTATATGACAAACAACACTCCTTGATTCACATGTTACAGTTTCTTAAATGATGTACTCTGACCTAAACTTGACCAATTTTCTTTTGTGGATTATTCATTTGGAATTATAATTGTAGAACCTGATGAGAAATTATTGAAAAGAATATTCTTCGTTCATATAATGGTGTTTTATACAACACACCTGAATAGGTTATGCAATTAATAACCATAATGATGTATTAACACAAACAAAATTACATAACTTGTTAAAATATTTAAATGACAGGAACAGGTAGTCCAGATATATAATCAAACCGCATGACAACATCATTCTAACTATTAACATAAAATCAGTAACAAAAAAATTTATTTTTTTTTAATAAAAAACAACAATAATAAACAACTCAATCAATTCAACATATTTTTTTAAATGCAATAAACATACATTTTACAAATAAACAAAACAGGAAAAAACAAAAATAAAATAAAATAAAATCACAGATACTACTCATAATCAATAAAAAAGAAAATAGTAATCCCGTATGGGAACAAGTTACAACGTTTAATGTTATAATAATAATGAAATAATTAATGATAATAATAATAAGAAAATATATCCTATTGTAATTGCTATACTCATTAATTTTAATTCATTTAATATAGGCTTTATATTATTATTATTATTATTTAATTCTAATAATTGTTTATTATTATTAATATTATTACTATTATTATTGATTGATGGACATATAGTAATAATAATTTGGGTATATAATTCATATAAACCATTAAATGGTATCATATCATCTAATAAATTATATATAAATGGTATTATATATTGAATTATATTCAATTTGAATTCATACCAACTCATTAAAAATAATTGATTTATTAAATATTCAATTTGTGAATTATTTAAATATTGAATTTGTTCTAATATATTTAATCCTAAATTAATTAATTTATTTAATGGTTTTATAATTATTTTATTATTTTCAATAATTTTTAATTGATTTTTAATTAATAAATAATTAAAATAATATTGATTAAATAATTGATTTAATTTCATATAAAATTTAATTAAATATTGATTTTCTTCATTAGAAATATTTTTAAGATTATTTAAAATAATCAAGAAATAATTTAATTCAGGATTAATTAAATAATCATTGACATCACCTACATATAAATTATCAAATGAATATGTTAAATTTAATGTTATATTAATTTGTTCAAATAATGCGCGATAATTGATTGGCGGGAATTTTGATTTTAAATTATAATTTTTTATTTTATTGATAATTTCTTGATTCCAATTATTTTCTAATAATGAATAAATATAATTGGAATTTATTATATTTATAAGATTGAATGGACGATTTATATATAAACTTTTTAAAAGTGGTAAATGATCTGGTGTATATTTTGAATTGAATGTTTTTATAATATTTTGTGGTATTTTTAAATTTAAATTTGGAATTGATAAAAATTCTTTGGTTTCATTGAAATGATAAATAAACGTCTTTAAATATTGAGTAATTAATTCATCAGCTTTTGTTTGAGCTAAATTATCAGATTGTAAATATATACAACCTTCATTTATGCTGATTAGTGAAATGTATACACTTGTCAAACTAACAATTATCAACAAGAAACATATTATAGAAATTGTACATAAAATAAAACGTAAACAAATTGGTCGATATATGTTTACTTTGAAATGACCATTATTATTTATCCAAGTTTTGTATTGATGATTTCGACCTTTGATGAATTGATAGCCTAAAATAAATATGTATGTGTAAATTGTGATAAGTATTATACTCAGGGAAATAAGTAGTATGTGATAGAATAACAGTGCAAGATTGATGTAGTTGATAATTTGCTTCATCTGTCCGACAAAATTGACAGAAGGAAATTGTTTAGCATAAATAGAAATTTCATGTTTAATTTTGTCAATCTCTGGCTTCAAATATGTTTCAAACAAGAAATGTATGCCATTATTTGAAAGATTATTGATAACCGGCAGCCACTGATGTATCAAATGTTCAACATTTAATGCTTGTGGAATTAGATCGTACTTTAAAACAGATGTTAAACTTCTCATAGGTAAATTTAATGGAAGATGAGTAGAATATTGTGTAAGATTTGATAGAAATTGATCTACTTGGTTACATGAAGTAAAATCTACAAGTTTAGAATGTACCAAACTATCACATAGAACATGTTTCGTCTGTTGTACAATAGGTGGTGTATGCCACCAGGGAATTGACATAGATGTTATATTCTCTTTAATTAAATATTCATTTAAATAACTAAATGATGATAAACTTTGTCGATATGTATACCATGAATGTTCTATTTTCCTAATCATTTCTGAATTTAATAATCTAGCAACATTGTTTAATTTTACATAACGATTTAGAACTAGATCAAAATTATCCAATATCATTTTTGATTCTATACTAATATTTTCTAATTGTATTAAAGATAAATTATTTTGCCCTAATCCAATGGTTGTCAATGAATATAAGTTCAATGAAGAGATACTACTTGTATGACAAAAATCAGTAGTCAAACAAGTAATAACTTTTGCTATAAAATGTTTTATACTATGAACAAATTGATTTATTAAACTTTTAGATGGTGAACTCTGTAATACATCATTATGTATATGAATTATAGTCAGATTGTAAGCTATATCTATAGCATACTGAATGAATTGGTCTGTTTCTAATGAGATTAATTTCAATTTTGAAGGTAAATTATTCACTTGTTGCATTAATTTTTGTTTATGTTGTAAAGATATAATAAAACTATAAAGACAGATTAGGAAACAGATAACAACAACTATTGAATATATTAATAAGCGATAGAATGATTTTCTACGAAATCTAAATAAATCTAATGTATACAATTCATAATTTTGATTACTCTCCAAATTATCTTTATCATATTGAACATGATCAAGGAGTTTAACGGATTGGATATTTTGTTTGTTTAAGTGTTTGATCTTTAATGATTCTGCAATTGGTAAAACTTTACTTAATTGTATTTTGTCATGTTGTATTTTAATATATTGTTTATGATTATCTCGTCTAGTGAATTGATCATTGAAGACTGATGTATTATCGAGATGTAAATTGTTAAAACACATGTATGTTGTATGGTATGAAGATGAAGTTAGCTTTAAAGCATTACAACATTTGTTATCTACTGATTGTTTATAAGTAATATTGTTATCATCATCATCATGTATAAATATTATTTTTATAATTGAAATTAAACTTAATAAACAACTTATTATACATACACTAATGATAAATTGAGTTTCTTTTTTTACAACACTTTGTTTTATTAATTCAATTATCCAAGTATTATTGTCAAATGGAATAAACTTGAATAAACCACCATCGTAATATACAGGATCTGTCATGTTCCGACTGTTTCTCCCTAACAAAAAGGGTACCTATTTGTCAAAATAGATAAGAAAATTTACACAGATCAAGTCTAGTTATTGGTACTGACAGATATTAAAATTATGATGTAAGTTACTAGCTGAAGGTAGTCATTAACAAAATGTGAACCTAGGTTTTGTCCTAGATGTAACTTATCTGTAAGGTTGAATCGAAGCTTTGGGGGGTTGCCAGTACTCTTAGAATAATTCAAATCCATACCACTGACTATTATAGAAGTGTTACTACTGAGTTATTCGACTTCACAAAAAAATTCTGTAAATTGATTGATTGCCTTTATAACTGAAGAAATCTCTAGCAACTGTATGGTACAACTGGAATCAAGATGATAAAGAAAACACTGATAGAAAGTGGATATTTATTAGATACCATAAAAATCGATTATAGCGATCTTCCGAAAATATTGATTTTTATAGATTATATCTACATTGAATGCTAGTTATATTTAGAAAAACTAAACTGAGTAACACTTATCACTGACTGATCAATACTTTACCGTATAAGCAAAATATACAATTTCACAAAATTAAAATTCTACAACAAAAATTGAGTTATGTTTGCTGTGTCCTAACAACCACTGACTTATAACCAATGTGATTATTGTCTAGCCTTTATTGATCATAGAAATTAGTCGATCGAGTTACTGATAATCGTTCCTTTCGACCTTAAACTAACATGAAACCAAAGTTCAAAGCTTTTTACCAATTTCGTCCAGTAACCAGCTCACATCGAAGAGGTGTGCCTACAGTGTAATTTTACCCGTACAATTCGATTATCACTGAGGACTAAATAACTTACTAACTTACGACTGTTACCTATCGTGAAAGAGCATAGGCCACCCACCATCATTCTCCATCCTACTCTGTCCTGGGCAATCATTCCCAGTTCTTTCCAGTTATTATTCATTCTTTTCATGTCTAGTTCTGATTCGCGACATAGTGTGTTCTTCGGCTTTACTCATTTCCGTTTCCATTCACGATTCCAAGTAAGTCAACGAAGTTGATGTAGTGATGAGTTCCATTCAAATGATTGTTCAACGATGATCCGTGGTATCGTGGTTTGGTCTGTGCATGACTGATCCTTAAGGAATCCAGTCTGCTGATCTTGAAGTTGGGCGTTTACTGAATCTTTCATCCGGTTGAACCACACTCTGTCAAAAACTCTTCTCGGTACCAACAGAAGTGTGATACCTCAGTAGTTTTCACATTTGCTCAGATCTCCGTTCTTCAGTATCTCGATTAGCTGACCTTCTTTCGAGTCAATCTGTGACACTTGTTCTTCCTCCGAAATCCTCTTCAAAAGAATGTGGAACATGTTTGCAGTTACTTCTCTGTGTTACTCCAGTGCTTCAGCTGGTATATTGTCACGTCCTACTGCTTTCCCATTCTTGATTTGTCTGATGACTATCCTGATTTCTTCGGTCGTCGGTGGAGTGATTTCTATAGGAGGGTCTGTATGCGCTCATTCGATGTCTCATTGGTTCAGTGGAGCTTGCCTATTCAATAATTCCTCAAAGTGTTCTACAAATCTGTTTTTCTGTCCTCGGACCTTAGTGATTGTCTAGCTTTTTTTTTCTTTGACTGGTTTCTTTGGTTTACTATATTTCGCTGCTAGTTTCACCGTTGTGTCATATAGCTATCTCATATTCCCTTCTGTTGCAGCCTTTTCTGTTGTCTTCACTAGGTCTTCCACATATTTCTTCTTGTCAGTTCTAAAGCTCCTCTTCACTTGCTTGTTTGTTTCTACTCACTCAGCTTGCGCCTTGACTCTCTCTGTTCTGGTTCGGATGTTGTCAATTGATGTCTTCATGTTCCTCCTTCCATTATTTTTATTCAAAGTTTCCATGAAGATCCATTCCTTATGATAACGCTTCCTTCGGTCCAGCACCTTCTGAAATGTTGAACTTAGTACTTAATTGATCCCTTTCCAGTTGCCCCCCCCCATAGTAGTTTCTTCTTCTTTCAGTAGATCTTATAAAACATGGAACCCGTTGTTGGGAGTTATTTTGAATTGGTTAAGTTTGTCAGTATGTCGTAGGAAGATTGTATTGGACATTTGCAATGCTGCTCCCCCAGTTGTCCAGTATTTCTTTAGCTTCAGTTTCATCTTGGCCACAACAATGTGGTGATCTGTAGCCACGTCAGCTCCTCTCCTGGTTCTCATATCTTCTACTGTCCTTCTGAATGTTTTAGTGATACAAATATGATCTCACTAGTTCTCCGTGGTGTGATCCGGTGAGATTCATGTAGATTTGTGAGAATATTGTGCCGTCTTTAAACAAATTGTTCAATGCACACAGATTTGCAAGTCTGTCACCATATTCGTTTCTCTCTTCCAGTCCATATCGTCCCATGATATCTTCATATCCAATGTTGTCCATTCCGACTTTAGCGTATAGATCTCACACCAGGATGGTCAGGTCATTTCCTGATCATTTATCTGTGATTGATTGAAGCCTCTTATTGAACTAAACTTTATCGTTGTCGTTGCTATCATTGGTGGATGCATATCACTGGACAATATTCATCGTTATTCCCTCCTTCTTCTTTGTTTTGAATGATGCTTCGATGATCGTGGATCAATGAGATTCCCACCCAATAAGTGCATTTCATGCTTATTTTGACATCATCAGAGTAACTCGCTGAGTGTGTGGAGAATTTTCTCCTTTGTGATCGGAGTACAACAACATCTCTCCCGTATATAACTTTTGCTGTCTAGCTTGTGTCCAATGGGTTTTGCTGATTCAGAGTACTGTCAAGTTGTATTTCCTCATTTCCTCAGTTATTTGATTGATCCTTTTGGTCTCGCACATCATCCGAACATTCCATGTACTTATAATAATGTTTGCTGTGGTTGTTAGAAGGGATATCTGCCTCGTGACTTCCGAATAATGTTGGCTTTCATTATGAGGTGTCGTAATTCCTCCTTGAACTCGGAGGAAATAGTTTGGATGGTTTAATTTGTTGAATCTGGTTAGTGTTTTTTAGTAAGGTTGTTTTCTATGGGATGATTTTGCCGACCGCATGCCCAATCCTCCTCCTTTACCATGTCTTAGAAGGGCAGTAACTCTAGAAGAGCTATAGGCCGAATTAAGGACTAGGTAAATGTGACATTTATTTCTACCCAGTGATTAATCAGTTTAGGTAGGATGGTTTCCCTAGGCATTTTGTGTCCAAAGAATTTTTCTATTTGAAGACTGCTTTTCATCATAAACTTTTATCGAATAAGAAGAGAATCATTGAGAACCTGGCGGTAAAAATGAACAGATCAAAACTTCTCAACAGTTTGTACTTGTGAACTTACATGAAATAGAACCATAAAGTTTCTTCAGTTCCAATATATATTATGTTACTGTGCCTACAAGTTAGTATCCAACAGTTAACTCAATTATGTACTGAATGATGTTTATTTATGCTATTTTATGTCAATTTTCCTTATAAACTAAGTATCGGTTGGCTGTTAGATGCAGTTTGCTACAAACGAAATAAAATTTTCATAGTTTAAATCACGAAGTGATAACAGACAGACTACTATTTCATCCTGTTAAGGAAGTCTTCAGCAGTGCACATCTGAGACCCTATTAAAGAATCTCATGCTATGATGAAACGCCCTTCCAGTCATCTCAGGTTTCTAACGGTCATTTAGTGCTGATCATTTCGTGAAAGTTCTACAATTTCCACAAATCTCTCTATACTAAAAATAGAATTTGTTAAGGGATTACTGAACTACCATGATAACCTATTTTTTTCTTTAAAATTGAAGATGTTTGTCATTACAAATTAATTGGTTTTAAACATTATGATGAAAATTTGTGGCTGATGAAGCTCAATCTTGTCAACAATCAAAACGTTATTACTTACTCTATTTAATAATTACCCCGCAAATTCACTAAAATTGTAATCATGATTAAGTGGAGTCCCACTAAATGGTCTCAGGTTTATCATAATCAAATCAATATTTAAACATTCTAATTTCAATTTAGTGTACGGCAATTAGTGGATCCTGTTAAGAAATATTAAATGAGAATACAACAGATACCTAGTGCTCATTATTTTACAATCATTCCCTAATCGAAATCAAATCTTTTGAAGTCATTCAAATTAACTTCTAATATAAAATTTTACTCCGTACACCAAACAAATTCTAGTATAAGTGAATCCAAATGAAGGTAACTAAGTAGTACAAACAGGTTTTCTAGACGTTTTTAGGTTTTTAGAGATAAAAGGCTAATAAATGACATACATTACTGGTTTCTCAGATCCTTGTGATCTTGTCAGTTCAAATGTACCGCCTAATTTGAAAAAATATACCTATGGACTAACTAACTTGATTATAAAAGTATAATTGCTCACTACGATCCTCAAAGGTTTTTATTGTTCCCGTTGCCTTACTCTAATGAGTTCGAACAATGATTACCCCAATGAAATAAATACCTTATTCGACTTTGTATACATCCTGTTGACACGTCACGTTGATAAGACGTAGATAATAGAAGTCCAACACGAATTGTATTTAGGATACGTATATTTCAGACATGTTAATGTTGAAGAGCAAACAAGCAAATAATAGATGCACCCATTGTATAGAGCTTTGGAGTTCAGTAATCGATTCAAACAATGCTAGTAACTCATTTTTGTGTCATGTAATAAATACAGGAAGTGAATAGACGCATATGTACCATAAACATGCATGTAAAACATAACCAAGGTTACACGTAATTAGTTGACAAGGTCAAATAAGTGTAACAGAATAAATGCGAAGAAAAGACTAACTTATCTATTTAAAGGTTAAATCATGTAGGCATGTAACCATACTAACTGCTACACATTTTTAAGCTCGTTGCCTGATGAATTGGTAAGCGAACTCTTTTAAGTAATCTAATATTAGGACAAAGCAGCCCTACAGTTCTCCCCTGTTTGCAATGTTTGTCCAGACATGATATAAATAACAGCTTGAAAGT